GTACTGGCATGCAAGTACACATTAAAATCACTAAGAGTGTCTCACTCAGTATTGAAGACGACATATTCATAATAATAATATAATCACTGAGGCAGTTTAAATGTCGTATATTACATTAATACATGTATAGACATTTTCGTTAATCCATCTATGATATTTTTTCAAAATTATATAAGAAACACGTTACATAGCATATATAAATATAATACATTCACTCACTGTAGAAAATATTGACATAAATATGAGATGTGGTAGCCAGGAGGCTTGTCGAAGTGATGGCAAGAATTACTCTTTCTTTAGTCCAACACGAGAGAAAATGTGTACACAATAGTATTACTGGGGGTAACTGTAGAAAATTATTCCCTTCGTATTCCTTCACTGAGCGTCATTCCCTCAAAAAATGGTGTGTTGCACAAGAATGGGAGTGTTGCTGTTACTTATTCTACTGTGACCAACATGAAGACAACTTGTACACAATGTTAAGTGTTTGTATTGTGGTAAAAGTTTCACAGACATATGCGGGAATGAACTGTAATCATACAGGTATTGATACATGTCATCTGTTTATATTCTCAGTGTCTCATTGTCTCTCAGTAGCATCTAAGTTTAGTTGTTAGAAATGATTAAGCTCAGTGAACAAGGTATGTTGATGGTAATTACAATGATAATTAATAATAGTAAATAATCGCTCTGGGGCGCTTTAAATTTCAGTTGTATATTTCATGTAGGTGTGGGAGTTACCACACCTGACTTTTGTTTTTTTGGTAAAGAGTGTACTATATGTATATTTTGCTTTTTTATTGTTTCTTAATACGGGTGCCATCCGACTTACGACTGAGTTCGGTTCCGAGAAACCAGTCGTAAGTCGAAATGGACGTAAGTCGAACTTTACTACTGAATATCAACATCACATTTTTGTAATGACTTTATTTTATTGTTTTATTTTAGTATTTCATGTTTTACTTTACTTTTTATGCTGTTAGTACTGTATTTTATACTGTAAGGTTTACGATAAATACTGTGTACAACACAAATAGTTGTTTATTTCCCAGAAATTTGGCATAAAAACACGGTCGTAAGTCGAGTGGTCATATGTCGAGCAGGTCGTAAGTCAGATGGTAGGTGTACCTAGTTCTGTTTCTAACTTAATACATATATGTTAGTGTAAACTTGTTTTCTGGCATTTATATGTAAATGCCCTGAAGGAAGGGTATTTATGTTGCAGTTTTACAAACTGTAGTGCAAAGCACCCCTCTGGCAAGACAGTGATGAAGTGAATGATGAAAGTTTTTCTTTTTTGGGGCCACCCTGCCTTGTAGGGAATTGGCCAATGTGTTAATAATAAAAAAAAGTGGAAAAAAAGGGCATTCTGCCTTACAGTGGTTTCTGCTTTACGGCTATAGCCTGGAACCTAACCTGCCATATAAGTGGGGCCCTACTGTATGTGGGTTTGAACCCATGGCAGGTGAGTCCTAAAAATTCCAGACCAGGTGAAAATGGGTAAAGCCACAATGAAAGGGGGGTGAACCTTTGGAGCAAAAGGTGGAAATAGGTACAAAATATGAATTGCAAACATGCGAAATCGCAGTAGGTTGAAGTGCGGAAGATGGTGGTCTGCTATATGTGCATCAGTCAAAGAAGTGCATTTGGATATCATAGCAAAAGTCCTTGAGGATCATATGTGGAACTTATTTCAGACATATCTTAAAGTATATAGCACCAGCATAGAACCCTCACTTAAGAAAGTTTGCTACAACACTAGGAATGAAAAAGAAACTATGAAGATAGGCTGGAGAAGCTAATTCTTATAAAATTGAAGAGGAGAATCTAGTTAGATATAATTTTGATATACAGGATATTTTGGGGACTTCATAAACACTGAGAGGAGGAGACCAAGGTAGAGAAGAAAGAATAAGTGTCATGATACCATGGCTGGAACAATTCACAGATAACTCACACTTTAGAGAGGAAACTTTAGACATTATTTCAGACCACCCATTATCATTGTTGTGATTTATTTAGTGATCCAGGACAAATGGAAATGTCTTTTAAAATTGTGTCTCCAAAGTGTGGGGTATTTATGAAAAAAAGCATAGAGGTTAAGAATGCACATGAATCTAATTGACTCAAGGATTAGTGCTCCCCTTATGTGGAATAATAAATAACCACAACTAGGTGAATGCAGTAGAGACAAACTTATAGAACAGTAAGTGTAGACAGTAGATGCTGGAATCACTGGAAACTATAAAAATACAGTATCACAGAGCATAATAAACAATGAATATAGCTATGCTCTTGTATCAACAAATAGGTAATTAAACTATAATAGTACAAACTCTCTTATGTTCATGTCAGGTATGTGCATCTGCTGTCTAATGTGGTTGTGGCCTTATTTGTGGGAGTGCCACTGGAGATGGTTCATAAGTGGTGGCGGCTCTTGATCCTCTACGTGGCTGGTGTGCTTGCTGGCTCTCTTGCTGCTTCTATGTTTGATCCTCATGTAAGTATATACACTTTTGGTTTGTGTGTGTGTTTACATGCCTGTCTATCATCATTTTTCTGACAACAAACTTGGATGAACCAAAATAAAGCTGCAAAAAGTAACATAAAAGATTAAAAAGTCAGCAAATTGGTTGAGTGAAGTGAATTTAAAATTTTAAAACTATGACCAGAAAAGTTTTACGTTCATATCTTTGAGTGAGACATGTCTGTGTCTCTCCATACATCCACTGTCTGTGTTAACCTTGCAATAAATAGGTACACATCTGCATGTTAGCTTACTGTTATCAGCATCCTGGGAAAGCAGCTTAAAATGCAAAACAATGTAATAATGTTACCTGGAGGGTGTTCCGGGGATCAGCACCCCCCACGGCCCAGTTCATCACCACCTTGCAGTGACGATAATTGAACAGCACCACCACATTGCTGATTAGAACACAGTAAAATTAAAAATGAGCAATGCATTAGGCCTACTGGATCATACTTAGTACATCCAATCCACATGCATTCACACTTGTCCAGCATCACTAGACACTCAAATACAGTAGGACCCACTTATCAGCTGGTGCAATATCCACTGTTTCAGTTATCCATGGTTTACCATGGCCTGAAAATAACCCTAATTTTGCTTAATAATGGCCTCAAAGTGCGAAAGTAGTGGTGGTGAAAGCTCTTCAAATCCTAAGAGAAGCTGTGAGGTGCTTCCCATCATTGAAAAAGTGATAATTCTTTGTTTATTGTGCATAATTTATCAATTAAACTTTATAATAGGTATGTATAGGACTTGTATATAAGGTTCACTACTATCCGCAGTTTCGGTATCCACAGCAGGTCCTTGGAACGCATCCCTTGCGGATACAGGGGTCCTACTTTATTCCTAAATTGCTGGTTGGACATGATGAGCATTGCTTTGCTCCTGTAATTAAAAACTGGTAATCACTGTAGTTATTTATCAGAAAAGAAATTATTTTAATTATCTAAACCCTTTAGGAAAAATTTAACATGTTCTTTCGGAAATACTGTCATATGTTGCATAGTATGACTGAGGAGAGAGAAAAAGAAAAACACAAATAGGATTGACTTGATTATAAGAAAGATGTCCTAGTTGACAGCCTAATCAGTTAGGCTGTTAGTCGTAGCAACAACTGTGGCAACACCCTTTATCAATGTTCTCTTCTTCAGAACACCTGTTCTTGGTATTTTGGATATAAGAGGTGCTATTGTATGATGTAACCCATAAGTTTTGAATGTCATTTCAGTAGTTAATGTTTAGGTGGGGTGGCCGAATATTCTATTCTATTCAAGATTGATGGACTGACCACATCGACTCAAGGTTGAGGGACTGATTACCTCATTCTCCTCCTGTTCTTCAAGTTTATCCTTTGTATGGACTGATGAAGCCACTGTGTGGCAAAACGTTTCCTCAATAAAGATACCCAAGAGTTGCACGTGTCTAGTTTAACAACGTGTCGGTTCTTTGAACCATTCATCTACAAGAACATAAGAACTTAAGAAAGTAGGAACACTGCAACAGGTCTGCTGGCCCATACTAGGCCGGTCCTTCACAAATCCAACCCACTAACAGAACAAATGCTACCCAAGCAATAAGCTCAGGTGCAAGTCCGACTCAAATCCAACCCCTCTCACTCATGTATTTATCCAACTTAAATTTGAAACTACCCAATGTTTTAGCTTTGATCACCCTACTAGGCAGACATTTCCACTCATCAACTACCCCTATTGTAATAAAGTTGGTAGAATTACCGACAATATGTAAAGTAAAAGGACACAAGTGCAACTAATGTGACATTTTATTGTGGCAACGTTTCCCTCTCCATGAGCTTGATAAAGCGTATAAATGTATAAATGAACATTGGCAATATTGCCAATGTTCATTTATACATTTTATTAGTGCTTTACATTTATTTGTCATTTTTTTCTGCATGTAAATCTATATTTAAGCTAGGGAAGTGACCCCTGAAGTGACCTAGAGTCCTTATGGAGGGGGATTCCCCTTCCAAACAATAACTTCTCTTCCCTCTCTCCTCCTCCCTGTCTTCCATTCATCAACAACAGCCTTCAGTAAAGGTAACTGTCATGTTGAATGTTCATTCTTTTGTGCATGTAAATCTATCTTTTAGGTAAAAAAAAAAATTTGTTGTTGATACTTCTGGGTGTCTGGAACGAATTAATTGGATTTACATTATTTCTTATGGGGAAAATTGATTCGAAAATCGTCTATTTTGATAATAGTCCCACTTCCAGGAACGGATTAAGGACGATAATTGAGGGACCACTGTTTAAGGGTTAAGAGGAAAGTGATGCTGACCCTGAGTTCAGTGGCTTTGAGGTGGATGTGGCCACAAGTGGTTGAGGAAATATCAAAAAACCTCAATAATAACCCATGTGCAACATTTGTACAACATCCATTCAATTTTGGTACTACTGGTAGTGTCGTCCTGCCAGAATGTCCTATAACCTATGCCCTAAGTAAAAAAAAGAGAATTCTGGAACATGTAATATGTGTTCAGCAGACTGGCTGGCTGATTGGCTTCTCTGTCTCACAGGTACACATACAGTAGACAGTCATTTAACATGGTAGTTATGTTCCTGAAAATGCCGTGTTAGGTAAAACCGTGTTAAATGAACTAAAAATTTATGGGAAAAGTAGGGTTTTATTTCTGGGAGCCCCCAAAACTCCAAACAGCATTTTTTTAGACCAACAGGTCTTACAAAAATAAAAGTGAATATGTAATTGTAGTTCATTGTTGTGATGTATTATGTTGTTTTTACTGCTTAAGACTACAAATGCAACAGAAATAATAGTATTTCTTACTTTAAATTGTGGGTGCTGGTGTTGGTCGATGATTGTGTAGAGAGTGGATAGTTATGCTGTGGCCCTGCTGGGCTCAGATGGATGGTAGAGGTTCTGGTATTGAAGTCGATGGTTGTACTGGAGTGTATATAAATTTTGTGGTGGATTTCTGTTCTATTTTACCCTACAGTACATTATACAATTGACGGTAAGGTATCAGCTGCTCTAGACACCATTTCAGGGTCCTCTTCAGTGAAAAAGTCTAACTTAAAGTCAAGTCATTCAGTCAGTCAAGTCAGTAAGTTATTCAGTCAAGCCAGTAAGTCATTCAGTCAAGTCAGTAAGTTAGTCAAATCAGTAAGTCATTCAGTCAAGTCATTCAGTAAGTCAGTCAGTCAATCACACAAATTCATATTTACCTCATTTTATGTGCACAGTGATGCTTCATTACAGCCACAGGCTATCTCTTGTCTAATATCTCTGTTTTTTCATTAATTATAAGACATTAACGCTTAAACCTTTTCTTGCCACTTTCAGTAACGCTTTCATATGTCTACTGGGTGCCATGATTGCTTGGCAGATTTAAGATCTTTCTTTCTTTCTTTCAACACACCGGCCGTATCCCACCGAGGCGGGGTGGCCCAAAAGGAAAAACGAAAGTTTCTCCTTTTACATTTAGTAATATATACAGGAGAAGGGGTTACTAGCCCCTTGCTCCCGGCATTTTAGTCGCCTCTTACGACACGCATGGCTTACGGAGGAAGAATTCTGTTCCACTTCCCCATGGAGATAAGAGGAAATAAACAAGAACAAGAACTAGAAAGAAAATAGAAGAAAACCCAGAGGGGTATGTATGTATATACATGTATATGCTTGTATATGTATGTGTAGTGTGACCTAAGTGTAAGTAGAAGTAGCAAGACGTACCTGAAACCTTGCATGTTCATGGGACAGAAAAATGGACACCAGCAATCCTACCATCATGTAAAACAATTACAGGCTTTTGTTTTACACTCACTTGGCAGGACGGTAGTACCTCCCTGGGTGGTTGCTGTCTACCAGCCTACTACCTAGAAAGATTTAAGATATGTCAATTAAAATATGTATGTAATGAAACACAGTGAGCTTCCCGAGTATCGTCCTACACACATACGCACCAAACTGAAGGCTGAGATGGTGGTGTGGGTGGCTGAGGGTGGCAAGGGATAGTGGTAGGCCTTCCCTATTGACTCACTGGTGTAACCCACCACCAGTCCCATGAGTGACCGCGCACTCAAAATTTTTTCCCTTCCGCGAACCACGTTAAATTAATTTTACGAAGTGTTACATAAAATTGTGCCGCAATTCTTCAATCATGCTATACCTGAACCATGCCAAATAAATTTGTGTTAAATGACGGTCTACTGTAAATACAATTATACATAGTGAATATTACCTAGGGTAACCCAAAAAATCCAGACAAAGTGCTATACTGTGTTTGTAGATATAATGCATAATAAGCACGACTGGCAGGTAATATGCATTTTCACTTGTTCAGGAATCAGACGTGACTACTCTGCATCATGTGTAATATATCTGTTGGTTCACGAGTCGCTCTCTCTGAGACAGAGAGACGAGCAGAGACAGAAAGAGACAAGCAGAGACAGAAAGAGACAAGCAGACAGAAAGGCAGATAAGCAGAGACAGAGATAAACAGAGAGCTAGACAGACAGATGAATAGATAGACAGACAGACATGTTTGTGTAACAGTGGAAACAAATAAAGCCAAGGCAGTGCACTATCATCAAATGTCACTCCACTGCTGTACTGTCAGTAATGGAGTGACACTCGTCTTACACTATGCTTCAAGGAATTTCATATACTCCCTCATGTCCAAAACATTGCTGAGACCTATAAATACTATGTATATATTTCTAGACAATAGTATGTGACTAAGGTAGGTGAAAATGTTAACCTGTCACTATGTTTGTGACTATTTGAGTACTATTTTCAGCACCTAATATTAGTGTCAGAACAAAGATTGGCTTTGAAATCACAAGAACTACTTCAAATTGTAATTATCAGTCATAAAAATTATATAAATTAAAAAATGAGAAAAAAAAGTACATCAGCAACACTTCTGCAAGCGGTAGTGCTTCACGTTGCCGTCAGGTGAGCGACAAGCACCAACTTTGCAGCCTTATACA